TGTCTTTGACATTACACAAACTCCATGCCCGCTGCAATTGTCAAATCTAGCACAGTCAGGCTCCTGGCTACAGTTTGCTCCAGTATAGCCAAGGTAACACCGGCATAAATTTGGTGATACGCACTCTCCTTTTCCTGAACACTGATTAAGATCCAGACAATCAGGGACAGAGCAACTGCCTCCAGTCCAGCTGTTATCGCAGGCGCATTGGTAAAAATCTATACAACGACCACGCCCTTATGAAAAGATAAAAAGAAAACAGGCAATAAATTAACAAATTACATTGGATAGGAAGTAACTGAATGTAATAACTCCCCTAACTACACTGACAACGCGTTACAGCGAAAAATCGGATATAAATTCTAAACATAAAAACAAATGAATCGAAAGTTTTAAAATTGGTACATTATATTTCCTATACTAAATACAATTCCAGCAATAATGCGGAGGGTACTGCAACATTACGTGTACATGACTGCGTTCATGATCATTGGCTACTTTGTGAAATGCAATATTTTTTTATATGGCACAAGAAAGGAACTAGCTGCGAAGTATGTAAAATTATATATTTATTCAATTTCATCTGATGATTACTGTACCCTCCAGAGTTAATAGCTTAGCCAGGCTTTAAAGAAGCGTTTAAAGCCCCCTATCAAAATTGAATCCTTGACAATTGAAATCTAACCGAAATGAATTGAAATTTGCCCTTTTCATTGACAACTAAAACATTCTTACCTCTTTACAAATAAGCAGCCTTTTTCGCTGAGAAGTTGCTGTGATATTTATGAACTAAATTGAAGCTCCAGACTGAAATTTTCATTCATAATATAAAGAAGCAAACGCGTTACCTGAACAGTAATCCAAGTGCTCACAAGAGAATTGTGTACAGTTATCCCCGGTCCATCCTTTATCACATTTGCAAACATCGTAATCCACACACAGTCCATTACTACTGCAATCTGATACGTTATGGCAGGTAGGAATAATACTGCAGTCAGAACCTGAGTATAAAAGATATAAAAAAACAATTAAGGAAGCTGCAACCAGCCCGGGATCGAGAATGGCTCAAAGAGGGAGTAGTTTTTCAGGATTCCCTGGCACAACATAATGCCCATATATTTTGTCCAACCCTAACTGGCGCACCTTTTGATTCAGATTCAGATTCTGTTTTTTTGTCCTGCACTATCCCCAGGTATTTTAGTAATCAATAAAAAAGAGAAGTTAATTAGAATAAATTACACTAGTGCTGAAGAGTATAATGTCCTCAGTTACCAAAGTAGCTAAAGCTTTCGAGTTGGTCACTGCCAAGTACAATTAACTGGCGTAGACAAGTACATAACATTACATGTAGCATTAAACACAGTACAAATCAATCTAACTTTAACTTCGATGAAATGGTTACTGTATTTTTTTCCTTAATTTTGATATATTTTTAAAGCGGAGCTCCACGCGCGGCGCCCCATAGCTAAGGAAATGTGGTAATCTGCCCGTCCTAGAAAATTTCCTAACCACGTGACCGTACAGCGACCGACCATTTTACAGTGTATAGTCGTGCATAGTCGCCCGACCGTCCGTCCGCACCACAGGCATACCAATGTAAAATAACTCAATCAACAGGTATGGCAACTCAAATGCAAATCAAGGTTTTAGTTGGAAGGAAATCACTTGGCCGCCCGGACGTTTAGGAAGAAAAAACAACAACAAAGTCGTGTCTTTTTCGGCGTTATTTTTTACGTTTACACTAACGTGGACAACAGAGAAAGAGCTAGAGTGACTTACTGAAAACAAAGGAGACGAATTTCGTAGGAAGAAAAACATGGTAATTCAAAGCGGCGGTGAGAAAATGAGAAATGCCAGCAAGGTGAAAATGAGCGGCAGTGAAAATAAAAGCGAACATAAACACAGGAAACAAAATATTGGGTAAGCACATACGACAATTCCTCCATAAAAATAATGTGTAACTAGGAAGTTTGACGTTTTAGTCGTGCAAAACAGCGTTGTAGACTTGCAAAACAATGGCAAGGGAAAGACAAAAAAGCGTGCTGCACGTGCAAATTTGTTTTTTGCTAATTAGAACAAAAAGTGTGCTGCATGTGCAATTTGTTTTTTTGCTAATTAGATCTATTAGTCTTGAAGCCATTTTCATTGTCGTCCCCGTTTAGCATTACACGATTTGATTTTTTTTGCTTACACGTATTATTAACCAGAGCTTTGCTTTTAGCCCCTGGCTAAACCTATATATTTAATTTGTGACTGTGGTAACGTCGCCGTTAACTATTGTTTTAAGGAGAATGTGCTGCCTTTGTTTTGACTGTGACATTCAAGTCTTCTCGGATCACAGGTAACCCAGGCTCTGTGATAGTACCACAGTACGGTTCCAGTAAAATTACAGTGTTTGTATGGGGTAAAAATATCATCCTAAAATTTCTAGGAAATATTAAATAAAGATCAATGAAACTTACTCTGCAGTTAATTGTTGTTGTCCTTATTGCTCCAACGAAGTTTCGGGATAATTTGCAGTAATTTGTTCAAATTCACTCTATCTACAATAATAATATACAAGGTAGGAAACACGAGGTGCCATTTTCGCCGACATGCTCTCATTCAACACAACTTTTTCCACGAAATTCGAACTCCAACGGAAAATAGACATGCCAGGATCGTAGAAATAGGATAGCAGCAGATATAGAAACCAATGAAGCTTTCCCAGATAGAGAAACGAATCCCACAGACTTTGACAAACTCGAAGAATATAATCCAAACACACCGAGAATACGCTCGCCGAAGCAGCCGGGCCAGATCAACGCGCGGCCAAGAAAATGAAGCCTGGGCACTGTACAAAAAAATTCCATCCCGGGGGTCCTGGGGTGACCTTTCTAGGGACCGATACATCATTTGCCCAAGGCCACCCTCCCCTGCTGGAAAAATACTTGATAGAAGGCAATTGTTCTTCCTAGCCAATCACTATGGCCTGTTATAAAGAGATTATTTTCCTCTCGAACTATATTCAGCTCCTGGCGCTGGTCCTCAGAAAGTTTATCAAACATCAATAGGGCAAGGTTATAAGGGCAAAGGAAAGAACAACGAAGGACGATTTACAAAACTTAAAACGAGCAAAAGATATAAGTGAATTTTGGCTCTTACCGAGGCATTTGTACAACAGGATCAAATTCAAAGAGAGGTGTCTCACGATGATTCACATATTTAACCGATAGAGCGTTCACTTGTATTGACAAGAAGTCGGCGTGTTACTGCCGCATTAATCGCTAAATATGTTAATCGCGCTAGTTCTTTGTTTACTAGTGCACGTGCCTTTCACATTCGTCTCAGTTATCGCAATTCATATTCTGTCGCAATTTTCTGTATAATTTTTGACATTAGTTTGTAAGCTTCAACGTTTATTTACGATAGTTTCGCTCGAGAGTTCACAGCAACAGTATCTCAGTCATCATCTACCTTTTGTTCAACCTTGTTTTTAGCCCGCCTTGTAAGCATTTCGCGTTGTTATTTCATTAGTTTCATTACTGTTATTTGCATTCCTTAGTAAAAGAAATGGGACGCCTTGTAACTCCGCAGACTCTCCTGATTATATTACTTTTTTTTTTCCATTTAAATTCAGGCGCGTGTGCGGGGTTTGCTCTGGCAAATGGTGATTGGCTAGGAAGGACAATTGCCTTCTATCAAGTATTTTTCCAGCAGGGGAGGGTGGCCTTGGGCAAATGATGTATCGGTCCCTAGAAAGGTCACCCCAGGACCCCCGGGATGGAATTTTTTTGTACAGTGCCCAGGCTTCATTTTCTTGGCCGCGCGTTGATCTGGCCCGGCTGCTTCGGCGAGCGTATTCTCGGTGTGTTTGGATTATATTCTTCGAGTTTGTCAAAGTCTGTGGGATTCGTTTCTCTATCTGGGAAAGCTTCATTGGTTTCTATATCTGCTGCTATCCTATTTCTACGATCCTGGCATGTCTATTTTCCGTTGGAGTTCGAATTTCGTGGAAAAAGTTGTGTTGAATGAGAGCATGTCGGCGAAAATGGCACCTCGTGTTTCCTACCTTGTATATTATTATTGTAGATAGAGTGAATTTGAACAAATTACTGCAAATTATCCCGAAACTTCGTTGGAGCAATAAGGACAACAACAATTAACTGCAGAGTAAGTTTCATTGATCTTTATTTAGTATTTCCTAGAAATTTTAGGATGATATTTTTACCCCATACAAACACTGTAATTTTACTCGAACCGTACTCTGGTACTGTCACAGAGCCTGGGTTACCTGTGCTCGGATGAGGGTGAGAAACCACACGCCCCGTCTCACAGCACTTTCTGATTCTTGTTTGACTGACGCAAAA